AATGGTAGTTGCCCTTTTATGTGCTTCTCATTGTGTATTTATAGTAGTTAGGAAGGCAAGTTGTATAAATCCTTCCAAGTTTGATTCATACTGGATTCATGAAGTTTCCTATCAGCTATCATTCTGCTGTATTTATATTCATTTGGGTTCTCTACAGTGTGCATTCATCAACCAAAAAAATGCTAGAAGCAAAATTCAGTTCAAATTAGGCAAGTTTTGTGAAGTTCTAAGAGTCTGTGATTATGCGTGTCCATGCCAGAATCAGAGTGGGATGGTGGCCACCTCAGAAAATTCAAGAGAAATCTGGAAAGATTCAGAGAGAGATTGGGAGTTTATATGGATAACAAGAATATACCATTATAACAGTTAATGCAAACAAAGTTTTGGAAGGGGATAAAAAGTCTCATGCTTCAGCATTTAAGCCACTCTTTATTATGGGTTAGGATGAGACCTTCCCAGGAGTAAATTATCCCACATATGTCTCCTGTGACATTCTTGCATCTTCCTCTGAGTCATCTGTTGCTAGCCAGTTTTGATGACAGGATGCTAGATTAGATGTTCTTCAGGTCTGATAAAGTCTGGCTATCCCTATGTTCCTTTGTGGAAGGCAACTGATGTTGGTGGAACTTGAGAAGCTCAAGTGCATTTATAGATATTAGATCAATTCACCTTTGATTTGACATGTCCTCCAATGTACTATGCACATGTATTGCCGCAAGAAGGGGGAAATCGTGGTTTTGGCAAACATATAGATGCTACGATTTCCACAGCAGCCACAACTTGGTCCAGAAATTCTAAGGATGCCAACACTTGGAAATGCATGCAAGCCATTCATGTGTGGTGTAGAGGTATTAGTAGACTGGTGTGACTAGCTTCTGTGTGAGATGAGAACTGTCTGATTACTGTAAACAGCATGATATGGCAAGGAGGTCAAGGTATAGTACAGGACAATGTACCAGAGAGTGGGTCATCCCTGATTACTGCTGCCACGGTGGATTGTGGGGGACTATCCACAACACACAAAAAAGGATGTAGCTACCTGTTATCTTTACTCATCCTGGTGGTGTTACTGCATGTAGAAATGGGATTTGAAAAGTAAAATGTGCACACTATATGCAACTTTTAAACAAAATTTAGAAATATTTTTAACGGTAAATTTTAGTTTATAGTTTAAGTAATTTTACTTCATTTTTTCAGAGAGCACCCTGGTTTAAGAACTTTATATCTGGTATTGTAGGACCTGGTTACTATGTCAATGAATTCAGAAGAATTCTACTGCAATCCCTGGCTCTACTCTCTCTGTATGTGTTGTTTCTTTAGACAGAATTAGTTGTTGTTTTTTTAAATTGCATAGTGTTTTGATTGAATCTTTTCTTATGTGAAAGGTCTGCTAATCCCTTGGTAATTAACACTTTCATAGGTCAACAAAGTTTAGAGGAATGTGCTTATTTTTTTAAATGGTCTTTAAGAAAAGCTCCCAGAGATTTTAATGAAAAAAAATGACGCACATCACATTCTACCTGTCAATGGTCTTGATGGTAAAACTTGAATTTTAAATTTTCTCCCCATTGTTGGCATTCTAAGGAATGGCAATGACTGTTAGAAATTGTTCTACAGCATTTACAGAAACTCTTAACTACAGATTAAAGTATTTATGGAGCCATTTTATTTACGGTGTAAGTAGTAGGCAGCTTGTAACAGAAATAATATACAGTTCAGTACCTTTTTCTCATTTTTGCTTTAATTCAAATGTACTACTACTTTAAAATGTAACTTTACATTTTCATTTCAGTTAATCTCCTACAAAGGTATTATCTCATGGATACCAATTATGTGCATTTCTTACATTATTGTTTAGATCTTTGTGTCCAGGTACAATAACTGCAGATGATAGCTTGTAATGTTGCAATACTGGTACAGAATCATGAGGCCATTAATAATCATAGAATCATAGGGTTAGAAGGGTCATCTAGTCTAACTCCTTGCCAAGATTCAGTAAAGAAACTTCCACAACCTCCCGAGGCAGTCTGTTCCATTGTCCTACTGTTCTTACAGTTAGGAAGTTTTTCGTGAGTTTCGATCTAAGTCTGCTATGCTGTTGTTTGAACCCATTGCCCCTTGCCCTGCCCTTCGTGGCAAGAAAGAACAACTTTTCTCCATCTTTTGTATGGCATCCTTTCAAGTATCTGAAGACTGCTATCATATCCCCCCTTAATCTCCTCTTTTTGAAACTAAACATGCCCCGTTCCTTCAGCCTTTGCTCTCATGGCTGCCTTCCATCCCTTTGATCACCTTTGTCACTCACCTCTGGATCCTTGCCCATTTCTCTACATCCTTTCTATACATGGGTGACCAAAGTTGGACACAGCACACCAGCTGAGGCCTACAAGCACCTGTAACTTACATGTTATACCTCTGTTAATGCAACCTAAAATTGTGTTTGCTTTTTTTGCAACAGCATCGCATCGCTGATTCATGTTGAGGTCCCAGATCCTTCTCAGCCGTGCTGCTGCAAAGCCAGTTTTCCTCTATCTTGTATTAGTGCATTTGGCTTTTCTTCCCTAAGTGTAGCACCTTCAATTTGTCTTTGTTGAATTTCATTTTGTTTTCTCCAGCCCTGTTTTCCAATCTATCAAGATCCCTAAATTTTAGCTCTGTCCTCCAGAGTATTTGCATCCCCAACCCCCCGTGTCATCTGCAGACTTGATCAGTATGCTCGCTATACCTACATCCAGGTCATTAATAAAGATGTTAACACCAGCCCCAGAACAGATCCCTATGGAACCCCACTTGAGATCTCCCTCCAATCCATTAATAGTTACTCTTTGTTTGTGATTGTTTAACCAGTTATGTATCCACTTAATGGTTGTTTTGTTTACTTAATAGTTCAGCTTACTTAATAGAATGTTATCTGGGAATGTGTCAGAAGCCTTGCTGAAGTCCAGGTATATTATGTCCACCTCATTCCCCCTATCCACCAAATCTGTTACTCTGTCAAAAAAGGAAATCAGACTGGTTTGGCATGACTGGAACTTCTTGGTCAATCCATGTTGGCTGATAGGATTACCCCTTCGTCATCCAGGTACTCACCAATTGAATGTTTTATACATTGCTCTAGTAGCTTCTCAGATATTGAAGACAGGCTGACTGGTCTATAGTTCCCCAGCTCCACATTTTCCCCCTTTTTGAAGATGGGCACTAGTTAGCCCTTCTCCAGTCTTCTGGGATCTCTCCTGTCATTCATGAGTTTGTAAATATTATTGCCAGTGGCTAATTCCTTCAGTACCCTCGGGTGAATAGCATCTGGCCCTGCTGAATTGAATTCATTCAGATTGATCAGAAGATCTCTGATGTGTTCTTTACTTCTCCCGATCTGCATCCATTCCCCTTTATTGTCTATGGTAACTTTGCTAGTCATCTGGTCACATGTTATTTTTTGTGAGAAGACTGAAGCAAAGTAGGGATTGAGTAGCTCCGCTCTCCTATCATCTTCCGTTACCAGCTCACCACCTCCATTGAGCAGCGGACTCACACCATCCTTGATCTTTCTTTTTTGTCTGACATATTTGAAGAACCCCTTCCTGTTATCTCTATCATTTTTTGCCGGCTGTAACTCTTTCTTTGCCTTGGCTTTCCTGATTTTGTTCCCTACACACTTGTGCTATTCCAATGTATACTTCCGTGGTGACATGCCCCTCCTTCCATTTCCTGTATGTATCCCTTTTTGGTTTTTAGATAGCTAAAAAGCTCTTTGTGCAGCCACATTGGCCTCCTGTGACTCTTCTTATCTTTACTCTGCATCACAATAGCTTGATGTTGAGTCTCTAGTATTATATCTTTTAGAACTGCCAGTCTCCTTCAACTCCTTTTCTTTCTGACTCAGAGGTGGGCAAACTATGGCCCGCGGGCCACATCCTGCCCACGGGACTGTCCTGCCCGGCCCCTGAGCTCCTGGCAGGGGAAGCTAGCCTCCGGCCCCTCCCCTGCTCTCCCTCTTCTCCCACAGTCATGCTGCTCTGCGGCTGGCTCCACCCGGGCAGCGGGGCTGCAAACTCCGGCTGCTCTGAGCGGCATGGTAAGGGGGTGGCGGCAGTGCGCACATGGCAGGTAGGAGGTCCCAGGGGGCAGTCAGGGGACACAGCAGGGGGCGGTTGGATAGGGCCGAATTTCTGGAGGAGGTGGGTGCGGTTGGAGAACAGGGGAGTTTGGATAGGGTGTCGGAGTCCAGGGGGCCTATCAGGAGGCGGGGGTGTGGATAGGGGGCAGGGCAGTCCGGGGACAGGGAGGAGGGGGGGTTGGATAGGGGATGGGGTCCTGGGGTTGACCCACTAGTTGTTTCCTCAACTTTCTGAATCACAAAGCTGTCCCCTACGCATGCTAAGAATTTGCAGGATGTATTACATTTTGCTGCAACAGTGTTCTAACAGATATCAGGGAAGTTAAAATCCACTATTAATACTAGCTCATGTGTGTTAACTAATCTTGTTACCTGCTTGTAAATAGAATGACTCGTTCACTTCCTCTTCCTGATTTGGTGGTCTATAATAGACCCCCACCATAACATTGCTACTATTCTTTTCCCTTATTATTCTCATCCAGAGGCTCAGCACGTCTGTCACTCGGTTCCCGTTGGACTTTGGAGCAAGTGTATACATTCTTGATGTACAGCACAACACCTCTGTTTTTCCCATAGGTATCCTTTCGGAACATGTAATAACATGCCATAACATGCCAATCATGGCAGTTGTCCCACCAAGTCGCTGTGATGCCAATTAAGTCGTAATTTTCTTCATATACCATGACTTCCAGTTCATCCTGCTTGTCCCCCATACTCCCTGCATTTGTATACAGGTATTGAAGATATTTGCCAGACTGCCCTGTTGCTTTTTTTTTTTCTTTTTAATGCAGTTGCAATTTCTAGACCCTTCTCCAGAAATTAGCCCCTTTCCCAATCATTACCCACATTAGGAGTAAAGTGATTTTTTCCCCATTTTTTGCAGATGTCATTCATACAGTGGGACCAATAGCAAGAGGCCATATCAGTGATACTCATAAAGAAGACCTGGCAAGTTGCTATAAATCATCCCTGAAACTGGCAAAAGAAAACAATATCAGATCAATTGTAAGTACTTCATAAAGATGTATTATTTCTTAATGTTGTGTCTTTTTCCTCAGGATTTAGCATAATTGTAGGAATAATAAAAATCTTTAAGAGCATGCATGTCATATGTGGTATGGAAGAACAAGAAATTGAAAGTTGTTAATGCAGCACGACTGGAAGAGAAAGGAATAAGGACAGCCTGGGGGTGGCACAAAAGCTGGGTTGGTAAAGCAGTTGTATCTAACACACAACTGTTCCACTAAGAACTCACAGGAAGAGAACTGCTCCAATGGTTAATTTTACATGTTATGATCCTATGGACTATAAGGTGGATAGAAAGTTGGCTAGATTGTCGGGCTTAACGGGTAGTGATCAATGGCTCCATGTCTAGTTGGCGGCCGGTATCAAGTGGAGTGCCCCAAGGGTCAGTCCTCGGGCCAGTTTTGTTCAATATCTTCATAAATGATCTGGAGGATGGTGTGGATTGCACCCTCAGCAAGTTTGCAGATGACACTAAACTGGGAGGAGAGGTAGATATGCTGGAGGGTAGGGATAGGATACAGAGGGACCTAGACAAATTAGAGGATTGGGCCAAAAGAAATCTGATGAGGTTCAACAAGGACAAGTGCAGAGTCCTGCACTTAGGACGGAAGAATCCCATGCACCGCTACAGGCTAGGGACCAAATGGCTTGGCAGCAGTTCTGCAGAAAAGGACCTGGGGGTTACAATGGACGAGAAGCTGGATATGAGTCAACAGTGTGCCCTTGTTGCCAAGAAGGCCAATGGCATTTTGGGATGTATAAGTAGGGGCATTGCCAGCAGATCGAGGGACGTGATCGTTCCCCTCTATTCGACATTGGTGAGGCTTCATCTGGAGTACTGTGTCCAGTTTTGGGCCCCACACTACAAAAAGGATGTGGACAAATTGGAGAGAGTCCAGCAGAGGGCAACAAAAATGATTAGGGGACTGGAACACATGACTTATGAGGAGAGGCTGAGGGAACTGGAATTGTTTAGTCTGCAGAAGAGAAGAATGAGGGGGGATTTGATAGCTGCTTTCAACTACCTGAAAGGGGGTTCCAAAGAGGATGGATCTAGACTGTTCTCAGTGGTAGCAGATGACAGAATGAGGAGTAATGGTCTCAAGTTGCAGTGGGGGAGGATTAGGTTGGATATTAGGAAAAACTTTTTCACTAGGAGGGTGGTGAAACACTGGAATGCGTTACCTAGGGAGGTAGTGGAATCTCCTTCCTTAGAAGTTTTTAAGGTCAGGCTTGACAAAGCCCTGGCTGGGATGATTTAGTTGGGGATTGGTCCTGCTTTGAGCAGGGGGTTGGACTAGATGACCTCCTGAGGTCTCTTCCAACCCTGATATTCGATGATTCTATGATTCCTACAAAACTTAGCAGGAGGCCATTGGTCAAATAGTTGACTCTGAAGAATATAACCTCACTGATTATTGAGGGGGAGATGACTGTGGTCTAGTGACTTATTCTGTAAATTGAATTTTTCCTTAAAAATAGAGATGAAAAGAGATGGTCGAATAACATAATTTATAACGTCAACCCACCAGAATCCATCACCATAAATTTATAATTTATGATCTGTAAAATAATTATTTTATTGATGTTTCATTTAATAAGCATGGTTCCTTGATCTTATGAAATACATCTCATGCTTTGTATTTCAAAGGGCCAGATTTTCAAAGTTAGAAGGGTGCATTTACATGCATATATTTGGATGTGCCTATCGTATTTGCATATATTTGATGAGTTTGCATACTCAGGCATTTTTGTGTGCTAGTTACAGTCTTAAATAGCTAAGAGTGCATAGACTACATTTACGTGCATACGTCAGGTAACATGCATAAGTGAGGCGTGCAAATGTATATGCACAAGTGTGCAAGCTTTACTTGGAAAATGTATCCACCAATTATATCAGTCAGGTAAATATCTCTAAACGGAGGTTAGTATTTCTAATGTGTGAATTTAGGAAATTCTCGGTCGTATATCGGCCAGATTCTCAGCTGATGGAAATCAGAATTCTACTGATGTCATTAGCTGTGACTGGCCTTTGTCTTTATTTTTGTCCTACTCCAGCTGCAGAAGCTCATTCAACATCTTAACTAAACTGTTTAGTACTTTTATAGAGGCTCTAAAAATACATTTTGGATTAAATAAACAACAAGAAGGTCAGATTATTAAAACAGGAGTTGGGGAGACAAGGGGTAGATATCAGAGTCTGGAGAAAATCAGATCAAAGTTAATCAAAATGACATAAAGAAGGAAGAAAATATTGTTCCATTAACTGTTTCAGATAAAACAGTATATTGACTTCGTAAAACTATTTGTAACAAGTAAGCAGCTGAAATCTAGTGAGGTTTGAAAATATCCTTGGTGATCAATGGCAGCTGTTCCTAAGTTTCTGTTAATGTCTTCTGATTTTAAAATAAAATCAACATTTATTATAGAAATTTTGATGAGGACTGTTCCTCATGGGGTAGAATTTTAGAAAGATTTAAAAATATTCTCATGTTCAATTTGAATTTACTGTAGATATTTCATTTTTGAATTGTAAGTGTAGTATTCAGTTTCTTTTGCAATGATCAAACTTCATCCAAAAAGAGAAGTGGAATGACACACTGTTTAGTGTGACATGGGCAATGTGGCTATAATAATTGCAAGGCAACATCCTGACATTGTGCTGTTTATATCCCATTACACACACTGTATACTTTATAGCCCAGTCTACTTGGGCAAAGAAGGTGTTTTTCAATCAAGTTAGATCAATTAAATTAGCTCAGTTCAGTTGAACCTTCAAGCCCTCATAAAACCTGTGTAGACATAGTATGACAGCTTTAGATCGTTTGAGCTGATTACATTGTAGCCTATGCTTCAACATAAGCTACAACACCACCAACTCAATCTAAAATACATGAATCTGTGTTTAGACAAGTGTCCATGAAGGAGATGGGGGTTAAGTTGAATTAAGCTAATACAATTGAGTTAACTCATTTGGCATTTGCACCTTTTTTGCCCAGGTACTCATGCTCTCTGGAGCCACAGCAGGCAAAATACTACCCTCTGATGCTTTTCTGGAGACAGAGCTGTGCTGCTGTGCATGTTGGCCTGCTTTAATTCCTAATGGAGTCCTTTTCATACGTTACAACATCCCATCAGACGAATCCAACTTTGGCTTTATATAGCCGGTCACTAAAGAGATAAATGATAACCAGTTAGGCTGGGTTCCTTTATTTAAACTTCATGCATATACTATAGAATTTAAAATATTTACTCTATATTCATTTTTGCTCTTTTTAAAAATCCATGAGAATGAATATGTAAAGAAAACATCCTCTTTGTTTCTTCTGTGAGGCTGGTCAGTGGCAGTGAGGGCTTCTTTTTGTTGCAGCAGCAGCAATGTTCCTCCTGGCTCCAGCCCCTTGTTCTAGTGCAGTCAGACCAGTGAGAACAGACTTGAGAATCAGATGAAACTAGTGAGATACTTTGGGTAAGAAAGGACAAAATGAAAATAGCAAAGGAGGAACTACAGGGGGCACCAACAGTAAGCCCCCAAGCCAGAGGCAGAGTGAAAATGACTCTGAGTAGCTGTTAGGGGAATTGCATAAAAATTCTTGACTCCAGATGTTAATTAGGCCCTAAATATAGAATAATAAAGATACTATTGAGTTATACAGAGGATAGCCTTGTCCTTGTATTTAGAAAGTAAAGAAAATGACTGGAGGAGAAGCCATCCTGGATTTACATTTTACCAGTCACAAGGAACTGATTGTGCATGTGGGCACAATAAGGAATTGCAGTGCTATTAACCAGCGTAACCCACATCTCCTGGGGTGTGCTATTCTGTCCCATCTAGTGGCACCGAGACCACTTAGAGAGAGTTAAAGGAGTCTGCTCTACAGCCCTAGCTAAGAAGCATATGGCTTTTAGCTGATGCATTAGAGGCTCATGCACTAAGCTCCAGAGGTCCTAGGTTTGATCCCGCCCGTCGATGACTGGGGTCTGTTGGTGTTACACTAGCACTAGATAAATAGTAAATATCTCTGTTGGCTGGCAATTTCCAGAAATTCTTTTCAGGTTGATCTAAAACGAAATTTTTCAACGTTTTTTGCTCATCGAAAAGTTGGAAAAAATTTCAAATTGGATCAACACAAACTGAAATTTTCTCTTTTTATGGCCGCAATGACTATTCCACAGTTTTCCCTGTTCTAGTAATAATTATAAACTACTTGAGTTAAATGGACTAAATACTGGACTTCCAGAACACAGCAGTGCAAATGGATGTGGGGACATCTGAGATGCCCATCATGCTTACAGGCATGAATAAGCTTAGTAAGTACGGTCGAAGTATTAAAATCCCTAGGGAAGATCCTGAGACAGTGTAAAAGATCACAGGTCCATTGACTTCAGGAAACCTATGACAGTTACATCAGCTGAATGGAAGAAGTCTGGAGCAACCAAATATATAATTCAGTAATTAAACAGCAGCAAACCACAGCTTTTTTGAAGAGAAAAACAGGAGTAAGAGATAGCCAAAGGGACTTCACAAGACACAGCTTGGAAATCTGAAGGTAAAAACACTCAAATAGATGTAGCGGAAAGGGGGGAAGCAAACAAAAAGAAGTTCAGACTGTTAAAGCTTGCAGCTGAAAAAGTAAGGGCAACAATAGGACACAATATGAATAGAATGCTAATGGTAATTAAAGGGATGAGGGGAATTAGGACTGTCCCAGATATATGTGGAGTTGGGAGAAGAGAAAGGAGAAAAAGGTGATGCATTCACAAATGAATCAGGAGAGGAAATCCGCTTGTTTGAAATGACTGAGCTACTTTTTAAAACTGTTCTTTAATAAAAATGATAAAGTCAATTAGGAAGTAACAAAAATGTTCAAACGGCTATTGATTAAAAGCTAATAAAGGAATACTTGGAAATATGGTTACATACAAATAAGCAGTCAAAACGATAGGGAGTCTGGGCATATTAAAGGAATTAGCTAATG